GTGTAGGTGTCGGAGGAGGGTGAGGGTGAGGGTGAGGTAGAGATATAGGAGGAGTGGTAGTAGTAGTAGAAGTAGTAGTAGTAGTAGTAGTAGTAGTAGTGGTAGGAGGAGGAGGATTATGAGGAGAGGAGTTGATGACTGAGTAGATGATTTTGAGAGAATCATAATGAAGCTTGATTGACGCATCAGTTGGTTGATCTGTCGGAGTGGTTAGATGAACGTGTGTTCATGCTGTGACACGAGTCGGCCACACTGGTGTGTCGTGGCGTCTCGGACAGTGGATGTTGAGATGTGGAGACAATGATGGCGGGTTGTTTTTCTGTCCCAACTACGTGGGAGGACAGTGAGTTGGCGAGGGTGTGGTCGAGTAGGTGTGCGTGTGTGGTGGAACTCACTGGGTGATAAACATATTATAAGCTTCCTTCTTGATCTGTTTGCTGACAATATAATATTTACCGTTCATATTTTATTCCTTATTTCCTAGTTTTAGTTTTTCAAACTCATAGCCTCTTTTCTTTTGATCTTTTATAAATGTCATCTTTTATTTTATGGTATGATGCGGTCTGATTTGCTTATATATATACTGCCTATGTCTGAAACACATGATCTATATGGTAGAAGGTGTGTTTTGGAGTCAAATAGGCAGACGTAGTCGGTCAGACTAATCAGGACTCAGAGTTGACTCTAGGTTTCTCGTACTGCTTAACACATCATTAGTTTGGACCATTACCAACGTTTTATAAGTATGTACTCTAATTGGCAATTAAGTTATGTGAAAATGATGTATGGGCGAGAATGATAATCATTCGTTGTCTGCTTAGTCAGACATGTATTTAGTGTGATAGCTATTAGATGAGTTATTTATTCCCCTATCCTTATTATTTATTATTACTGATCGATTGTTCATTGTTGTTGGATTGTGTCAGGTTTTCGTGTGGAAATACATTTACGTTGTTGTCAGGTTAATCACCTGTTCTTAGTCTGAGTTGTGTTTAAGTCTTGTAGAGTCGACACTGGGAGGGAATTTAGTGTAGATATTCGTCTAAGGAAAATTAACGTCCCATTCGTGAGTAAAAAAGAAAAGGACCGTTAAAGCAGACAATTAACAGAGCATAAGAACAAAAGAGTAACAGTATCAGTTGGATTATGAACGATTAAGTGCAGATAGAGGAAGAAGTGAGATATCGTGACCCAAGAATCCAACCTACTTTTGGTCACTGGTTACGTTGGTGATGTGTGCTACTGATGTCGATAGATATAAGTAGTATGTATCATCAATCGAAAGTGTAATGTCTATCGACACAAGGTTAAGAAGATCGAAGAAATGAGAACAAGAACAAACATTGATTAGTGTAGAAATGAAGAAACAATGAAGTTTGAGATGATTGATTGACATTTTGAAAATGAAGTATTTACTGAATAATTCTCAGATTTTACTACGATGTTCTGTAATTTAGTATTCGGTTACATTTGATTGTCTCCACTTGTGTTCTTGTTCACTTCAGACTGTTAAACTAACCTATAGGAAATATCAATCGATTTATTAATTTACACTTTGTAATTTCTGTTTTCTTATTTCTTGGAAACTCATCATTTACAAAATTTGTTTGATGACTGACTAGAAAGTAGCTGGAAATTTGTTACAACTGTTTTAAGCGCATCCCTATACGATACTTTTGTTCATTTGTCTTTGTTGACTGTTCACCCATCATCCGTATTCGCTGATAAGTATTCATGATTAATTTGTATATACCTATCTATCCATTTGCATTTCGTACATTGTTGTATTACCTATCACTGAACTGTATCTCTTATCTTCTATCTATATAAATCAATGTCTAAAATTAATCCTTTCGACATATTTTTCATTTTATAAGCATCCTTGCACGATATGGTTGGTTACATAGTGAGCCAGTCTAAAGTAGCATAATGTAAATTTCAATCGATTATAATCAAGAGTGACCTGATAGACAAATGTATTTCAGTAGATAAGAAATGGATTAATTTCCTAAGGGTTTGAGTTGCACATATCTAAATGAATATTTGTGTATTTTATTCGGTAGCTCAATATACTTTCTCATCCAATCTTGTATTCTTGCATATTTTGTCAGATAGGAGGTTAGAGCGTAGCACTTCATGCATCAGTATCAGGTTTCAAACACAGCCCATCACAACAGTTAGCCAAAGTATAATATAAGAATTTAACTTAGGAATTACATTTCCTCATCGTTACCATCTAACTGGAGTCAATTAAAGGCTACACGAGGGTTACATTAGTTATTTTTTAAATCCCATATCTAATAGAAAAATGTTTGTGCTGATCAATAACTGCATTCAATATGATGAATAAATGATTGGGAAGATATGATCAACGTAATCAGGTATCCTTAAACTCTCTATATCAATGATTCTTCACGAGAATAATGTCATATCATGAAATAATAAAAGTTTCGATTCTTAGTCGACTTATTACTTAATTGATACTACTTTTCTTGTCTTATGTATTACTTTAAAAGCTCTCATCTATTAGTTCTCAATAGCTTGTCAAACAACACCATTCAATGATAAAAAGTATTTTTCATAGTTGAAATCATGAGTCAGTTGAAGCTAGACCACCATTGAAAACCTGGATGCACTGAACGGCCGTTTCGTCCTATTATTGGACTCCTCAGCAGTGCGCATCCACGATCCCGCCTCGTTGGTGAGATTCGAACCCAGGACCTACCAGTCTCGCGCCAGAGCACTTAACCGACAGACCACTGAGCTGGCCGGCATCCAGTGGTGTTAATGTCTAACTTCAACCGATCCACGAATTTTTAAGCAACCGTTCACCAATTGTCTTCAATGAGTTGTTATCTAACAACAGACGTTGTTTGAACTCCACTGATCACTGCTTCCCACTAGAACTCCAGGACATGTATCTTGAAGTCAGTCACTAATGAGCATATGATCATAGATCAGAAGGGGGTTTTGTGGAGATTTCATTATTTTTCATGGTTGAAATCATGAGTCAATTGAATCTAGACCACCATCGAAAACGTGGAACGCCTGGAAGTACCCTCACATCTATACAGTACATATATAAACATCAAACGCCTCCCGTATAAAAGGCACCATCACATCTATAGAGTTTTTTATTTTATTTAAACACATAATTATTGGTACAAGGAAGCACCAGATACATTTGCGCCATACAAATCTCATTTGATTTGTGTGAGGGCTGTGATACTGCCCAGGATCCCAAACTAAAGCAGGTGGTTTACTTAGGGGCCCACACCCGGAACCTTCAAACTAAAGGTTTGATCCACAAGGCAGTGGAGCATCGTGAGAAGATGCAGTCACATGGTAACCGGTGACCAACGATTGATTCATACGCCATTTTTCGCCTCAGGATACTGGAGCTCATGTGAACCATTGGTTTGGAATCAAGGTTTTCAAACTCCCCTTAGTAAACTTTCCGTGTCCACTAACCTGGTTAAAGCTCCCTCCGGACATTCGCTTTTCGTCCTTTCACTTTCGTGAACATTACCCTCACCACGAGAAGGCAGCACATATATAAACATCAAATGCAACAACTCGAATAATTCAAAACCCCCCGCCTCCCTCTATATTATTCATTGATAATTAAGAAAATGAAATGATAATTTCCTCAATTGAAACCGGTAAATCATATAAATCAATTTTTTCATAGAAATAATGATAGTAAAGTAAAACCAACAACATCTATATGTATATTTCTTAGATGTGAATAATGTCTTGGCAACTAAACACGCACACACGCACACATACACAAGAAAAATGAGATGAATGTAACAACTGAAAATCATCGAAATATAATGATACACAAATGAAAAAGAAGTCAGATTTCTTTTATATAATTTCTCTCTGTAACACTACTGAAATAAGTAGTATCATAAATAATATATAGTAACATCTAAAAAAGGTTAAATAGGTGGAATATTTCATTCATGTGAAGAAAAAAAAACAATCACGGTGCCTATCATTTTATATACTAAACAACCATATACATTCAGTAACCTTTCTGATTATCTTCCCCCCCCAAACTCGTACTACTGAAACTAATATAAGTAGTAGATGAAGAAAAACAATAAATTCATTTATCTCAGTGTAGTGTGATGAGGTGAACCAATATATAGATCATATTTTTCTTTGTCTATGCATAGTTATAATGTTTCTTTTCTTTTAAAAATAACTCTCCTTGAGAAATTTCGAAGTAAATGACGTAAATGAACCCAGGATAGGGTTGGATGAAGAATGCTAGCGAGCGGCCCATACTCCTCCACGAGGAGTAACAGGCGTAAGTAAGTAAGTAAGTAAGTAAAGTAAGTAACGTTAATGGAAATGTCAACATGCATAGTTGATGGTGGATAGGTTCAGTTATTTGTTAGTTGTCATAGAAACTAAGATCATGATAATCAATACAAGATATTCTGAATAATAATAACTCGGTAAAACATATATTTGAAGATGTATGTATGTATGCATGTACGTAGGTACGTATACATGTATGCCGGATATAGTTTCTATGTATGTATGCTTGTATATAGGTAGTATGTATAGAAACTGAATCATTGACCAAGCATTATATGTGTACAGTAATTATGTGGATATATATATATATATACGTGTATGTCAGTAAGTGGGAGAGATACAATTAAACAGGATAAGTTGGATGGCATGCAATAACCGATCATTGAAAGACATTAACATTCAAGATTTTGATTGGATCATTTCAGCTATCCATTTCTGTGGTGGTTATACAAATGGTTGTGACATACCAGTAGTAAGTTTATAAAAAATATCTTCAGCAAGACATTGATTTTTTTCTGGTGATCTTAAATTCAAAAAAGTATAACCCCCTAAAAATTCTGCTATCATACGAACAGATACATCTATTGGTCTTATAATAACTCGACCAGTAGTAGTATTATTAGTAGTATTAGTAGTAGTAGTAGTATTGACTGTATTAGATTGAATAGCTATATTTAATACAAGTTCACTTAATTCCCAATTAATATGCCAACTTTGTATTGAAGACATTCGCCAACTTGCTAATATTTCACCATTAGTTAAATCACAACGATAGATACGGGTAGATCCAATACCGATAGATTCAATTTTTCGACTGATTGATATAGTGATATGATTATTATTCATAGTGGATGAACGATTCATTCCAGGTATCCAATTGGTTTGTCCATTACCATTATCATTATCATTCTCACCATTGATTAATGTATTCAATGGTACAGTGACTTCAATACGTGCAGGAAAGAATGCAATACCATGAAAATGTAATTGTTCCCATACATTAATATATTTTAATTTAGATTGTATACTACTTAAATTATTGATTTGAGTATATATAGATGAAATATGTTGAATGAAATGATTACGAGTCTAATGAGAAGAAAATAAAAGAAAAGAGAAAGTATCATATTATAAAATATCAGTACAGAGTTATGGAGATTGTTAAGTTTTGATGGAGATCATGAAGGCCGATTGATGTTTAGATCACCGTTGAAAACCTCGAATCACTACATCCTATTGTGGGACTTGTGAGTAGTGCGCATCCACGATCCCGTTCTCGAGATTCGAACCTAGGGCTTACGGTTTTTAAATTGTTAGATATGGACGATTATTCGGGAAAGATAGAAAGGTTAGATCTATGCAAATCATTCATTTATTACTTTATGTTTTTATAACTAGTTATGTACACATTTTGATTTCTTATTTGGGATGCATTACTGCCGTATGATTCATGTACGTAATCCTATAAACTCTTAAGGTTTGATTGAGCTCATGAACCGATTGATGTTATATCAACGTTGAAAACTTTGAATCACCTCGGACAGCTGTTAAGTCCTACTGTGAGACACGTCAGTAATGCGTATCCACGATCCTGCTTTCAAGATTCGAGCCTAAGGCTTTTGGTATTTAAATTGTTAGATATAGACGATTATTCGGGAAAGATAGAACGGTTAGAACACATTTTGATTTTTTATTTGTGATGCATTATTATTGCATGGTTCATGTATGTAATCCTACAAACTCTTAAGTCATGATGATCAAAGATAAATTAGGTTCTGATTTGGCATTAAAGGTAGAAGAAATGGTGTTAACCAATATACATTAGCATTTCTGATCTCCGTTTGTTGGTTACTTATATTACTGATTAAAAGTTTCAGTTAGTTATATAATATACCCTTATGGGACAGGGTAATCTTGCATTGGTTTTCAAAAGAACCAGACATCATATATACTTTCACGCGGCAACCCAAACAGTACAGCTCAATCCCGTTTAACAGGAGAGCCAGACACTGCCCAGGCTTAGCTCAAGCAGTACAGCTCAATCCCGCCCTATAGGAGAACCAGACACTATATAGGCTTCAACGCTACAATCCGAACAGTACAGTTCAATCCTATGGCGCAACCACTCAGGTACCGAACACCCTGGTGGACAATTTACAGAATAAAAGAATAAAACGAATCACTTATCAACGAATTGTAGAATTGAATTATCCTAGCCGGTTGACAAATGAATATTCGAAGGAGTTTTGTGGATATTATAGTTGACATCATGAATCAATTGAGGCTAGACCACCACACAATAGAACAAAATGGCCATCCAATGCTTCCAGGTTTTCCATAATGATCTAGCCTCAATTGATTCATGATCTCAACTATTGAGAAAAAATGAATATTCATATAAATTCGGAGTTAATGTTAAACAAAATAAAACTTATAAGCAAAGATAGACAGTGGCTAGCAGTGGAATCGACTTTGCGCGTTTCGTCCTATTTGGGATTCGTCAACTTTATGTACCTGCATCAAATGGGACAAAACGCGCGTCAAACTGGATTCCACTACTAGTCATTGTCCTTATTTGTTTATAATGCTTGTGAATTAAGGCTACATCAAGGCAATACGCAAAGTATGCATATATTGCCAATAGCAAACTGATCAATTGCAGTCCCCAATCTCAATGGGACAATTCAAACAAACAATATCAAGTGAATTTAAACTTCACTCCATTGCACTAGTAAGTAGTTATCAATACTCAGTAGCTGAGTGGATAACGCAATGGCGTTTAAAACGAAATTTACTGGGTTGGAGTCCTAGAGTGAACATTAAGAAGTCTGAGATGCAGGTACATCGAACTAACGAGTCCCAAATAAGACGAAACGGTCGTCCAGTACTTTCAGGTTTTCCATAGTGGTCTATCTTCAATTGACTAATGATTTCAACTATGATCAATGAAAAGATTCAAATAAACAATATCAAAATAAATTCAATCATATAATACTTACTTGTATAAATTGATTCATATGTGATGAATAAATTGGTGGTTTATCATGATTTGGCAATGTTCCTGAATGTTTCATTAAAGTATCATCTTTTAAATGATCCCATCTATAATCTAATGTTTTATGATATGAATTTTTCATATAACTTAATCTTAATGGTAACATATGAATTAAACGTTTATCTAAATGATGATGTAATCTAGTTAAATTGATTACTTTATCAGGTTGATCAAGCTTTAAACTATTAGGGGATAATAACTGGATGAGATTCGTTATCGCTTTACGTTCATTATTAAATATTGTACGATTTAATAATGAAGTGATTATAATAGAACGTGACTTTTTAGATGATTTTTTTGTTTTTATTGATATACTACTTAAATCTGTAATATCAGTAGATAAATTTGATGGTAAAATTAAATGTATCGATGTTGTTATACGAAATATTGTTAACCAATCTATATAATCATTTAAATTTGAAAAACGTAAACATAATTCATTAATAAGACCAGTCATTGTTGCAGATGAACCAGTTAATGCACCAATACCACTTATATTAATGGGTCCATTTTGGGCGCCATTGTTTGATGATGATGATGATATACCAAGAACATTACTTAAATGAGATAATGATGTTAATGATAATAATGATGCTCTACGTTTTAATTTACTACCTACAGTTGGATCTTCATCATCTAATTGTAAACCATTTGATTGACAAGGAGCAAATGCAGCAGATAATGGTAAATTAGTACGTGATACTGGAACAAATAAACGTAGATTGAATTTTTCTGATGATATACATAAATCTGATTGTATTTCACATCCTGGTAAATAGATTACTTCAGCTGAATCACTATTGGATAGATAATCATCTTTATTCTAGGAGAAATGATGGAATGGAAGAGAAGAAGATGAAAAGAAAGATATGAGTTAGATAGCTATTGAAAACCAAGGAAATCTGGATCGATATTTGATTCAAGTATAAGAATTAAGCACTGAGCACTGACAAACACATCAAAGATAGAACTCACGAAAGTTGGAACCGCATTGTATATCTACAAACTTAATGCGGACCAATGAATGATCTAAATTTTGTCTGCTCGCTACAAGGGCACAAGGTCTCGTGTTCAGTACTGCGTGGAGTATGGATATAAACTATTGAGCAGCTCTGTACTAAAATGAAAAAGCTCGTCAGTTCTTTATGGTTTTCAGTAGTTGTATAACTAATATTCACTATGAAGAATAACTTTAAAGTTAGACATCTACATCAATGCTCTATATGCTCAAAGAGTGATGCAAAAGTCTATGAAATAACAGCAAGAGTATTTAATATAAACGTGCTTTCTCTTTGTAAATGTTTCATTTAAAATTCAGAAGGGGTTTTTGTGGAAATTTAGTATTTTCATAGTTGAAAGCGTGACTCCATTCAAAGTGGACCACCATACAAAACCTGGAGGCACTGAACGGCCGTTTCGTTCTATTGTGGGACTCCTCAGCAGTGCGCATCCACGACCTCGCCTCACGAGACTCGAACCCAGGACCTACTAGTCTCGAGCAGGAGCTTCAATTGACTCATGCTTTCAACTATGAAAATACTAAATCTCCACAAAAACCCTTTCTGATTATAATTATATGCTCATTAGTGACTGACTTCAAGAGATTTCTGCTGAAGTTCTAATGAGAAGCAGTAACTAGTGGAGTTCAAACCACGTCTATTGTGAGATAGGAATTCACTGAAGATAATTGGTGAATGGTTACTCAATTTTGTGGATTGGTTGAAGTTTGACATTATCATAATCGGATGCCGGTTCATTTTTCAATTGACAAACTTATTTGTTCATAAATTGTAATTTGCGAGGTAATTTATGTTTAGGTGTCATTCTATGATAGAAATCCAGTATTACATAGAGCTGTTTATTTCTAAACAACAGTCCATTAGTAAGTTTAATAACTGCAACTCGATTATATTACTTATGAGTAGCTAATACACAAATCATAGTATATAAGTGTTCTTGCAATTGATTGATCACTGGGTGGTGATCAATGTCATGCGTGTCAACTCCTTCTTTAGTGCTGATCGAATGCTATCGATCAAGTTGCAATGTGGCCGCCAGTCTAGGTGGCTCGACACTGTTTGCACTATATATATTGAAGTAAGATGGTGGTTGGAGGTGGTCAACGGGAAACCCTGGACCCGGGTTTCGTGCTACTTGGCACTCGTCAGCAAGGTGTACCTGTAATCTTGAGGGAACTGATGCTCCCTGGCGGATTCGATCCCGTGTCACTCAGCTTCACAGTCAGAGACGTTAACACTGAGCTATTCGGGCCGCGGCCAACCCCCTGTAGTTTGTTGATTAAAAAAATACAGGACAGTCTTAAACTTATGGTTAGTTTATTCAAATAGAGTCGGTAGTTTACTATTCGTATACAATACAGACATAGCTCGAAAACAGTCGTCATGGTGTCTATATATATGTATTCATCATTGTTTAATCATTTATTCCACTTGTTCTTTTAAAACTACACTCTTCATGCTTAATTGTTTATGATAATTTTAACTTTTCAGTTAGAGACAGTAGAAACAGGTATCTACTTCAGTACAATGGAAGATGGTCGCACAATTTCGTGGATTGGTTGAGGTTAAACATTAACACTGCTGGATGCCGGCTCAAAGGTCTATCGGTTAAGTGCTCTGGCGCAAGACCAGTAGACCCTGGATTGGAATCCCGCAAGGCGGGATCGTGGATGCGCACTGCCACTGAAGAGTACCGCAATAAAACGTGACAGTCGCCCAATGTTTCTAGGTTTTCCATGGTGGTCTATCTTCAATTGACTCATGATTTGAACTCTATAAAATGATTAAAATCTCCACCAAACCCCCCTTCTGAAACTAATACTTACCTTATAAACAAATAATTCCGTTCCTTTAACAGATATATAATAACGATGAAATACTTTTAAACCAAATTTTCTTGGTTTACATATTTTAACATAAGTGTTTAATTCAGGTAAACTATTTGAATGATTATCATATTGATCATTATTCATTAAACTATCTATATCACTCTGATGATGATGGTTTGTATCATTCAATAGACTTAATGGACGTGATAAACGTTCTTTTGGTCTGGAACAATGTTGTATTTTAATACCATCGGTTAATAGATTCGAATCTGTATTCTCTAAACAATTCATTGATAATTCATCAAGCATGAGATCAATTTCATGATCTAATTCAATAGTACTAAGTGGTCTTGAAGGTGATGGTGATGAAGATTTCATAGAATAACGACCTGTATGATATAGGTAACCACCTAATGGTGAAATATCACGATTATGTTTAATGAATGTAGATTTGAATTTTTTCACATTTGTTTTACAATGATCAAGGATACTTTTGTCCAGGGAACAATTAACCAGTTGCTGGGTATCATTTGTATAAATAGTACCATTGATTCCTTTTTGTTCTTCTTCATTATTGTTGTCATTCAGTAAATTTTCATCATTCATTAATGTTTCTTCTTCAGTAGCTAGTTCAACCTAAAGTTTAGTAGATTTTTGAAGAAGAAAAAAAAAGCCGAAATTAATGGTATTGTAATATTGATTAAGGAATATGGATCAATATCTAAGAAAGATGATGTAACAAATGATTTTACACAATATTTAATTTCGGATAGTGGCTAGCAATGGAATCAAGATTGACGTGCGTTTCGTCCTATTTGTGACTCGTCAGCTGGGAGTGGTTATCAGAAATCAGTAGCTGAGTGGATAACGCGATGGTGTTTGAAGCGAAAGTTACTGGGTTCGAGTCTCAGAGTGAACATCAACAAGTCTGAGATGCAGGTACATCCATCTAACGAGTCCCAAATAGGATGAAATGTGTGCCAAACTGCATTCCACTACTAAGGACTATCCATCTTTGCTTAAGATACAATGAGTTTTTTAAAGGAAAGGAAAGAGAAAAGGAGAGAAGTTTATACGATCATTAAATAAATGAATAACAATAGTATTCAGTAGAATATATTATTGTCTTTTTTTAATAAGAGAAACATGAGAAGATAAATGCCTTGGTATGGTCAAGGGTGAGGAGAATTAGACTCCCTCTCGAAATGCTCTCACATGGCCATGTGTAAATTATGGTGTCACCCTTCAATTTTTTTCAGATACATAATCAAAAAATTCAACTTCTATCAAACTGTTCGCTAAAATTTGAAAGAAATTATCATATAAACAAGATCAGTATTCATGTAGGGAAGATCAATCTTTTGTTTAATATAAAATTACAGAATGCCTTCATAAAATATGAAATCCTAGTTTGGCTCAACCATACATTGAATACTTCATTAGCACATTCTTCATCAATTGTCTCTTACAAGCTTCATAATTCCTTCATTTCTGTTGTTATTTCGATTACTCCCTGTTTATATCCCTATTCTCTTTAATTAGATCTTCTTATCCTTTTGTTGCTAGGTATTCCATTACTGATAAGTGTCACATAATAATTATGTCTGTTGACATAAGTGGCATACACCACACCATTTGTATTAGATACGGATTTCCAATTTTTTTTTCCAGAGATCTTTTTAACAGAAAGTATCTATGATATTTCATTCATGTAGTTGGTGTAATCAATTGGTAAGATGATAGGGGAACCAAATCAGATAAGCCAAGTTCAACATCTGATCAACGTTTGAAATACAAGTAAATTTCAGTCTATCATGAATTGGTCTAGGATGAAAGCAGTAGTCGAAAATGTAGTATATTAGTTCACTTACAATAGTATTACAAACTTTACGAAGTTTTGATATCTGACTGTGTTCATTTGGAAATTTAAATCACTTATTCTTATTGAAACCATGAATTGATCTAAGCAAGACAACCATTGCAATCCGGAAGCATTGGACAGTCCTGGTATGAGACTTCTCAGTAGTATGCGTCTCCAATCCTCGCCACCACATATTGAACCCAAGAAATTAGATCGCTCGCACGAACACTCAAAGTTTAGGCAGCTGAGCAGGAAACCAATAGTGTAGATATTTAACTCCAATCAATTACTTATTTTAGTCATAAACAGAAGTTCAGTTGAACTTTTCCTAGTTATTTGAAAGCGTTTCACACTGGATAACATTACGTTGTTGAAGGTAGTTTTTAGGAAATTTCGTTAAACTTAAGTTTCTTGTTAGTTGATACTTGTTAGCACGGTGTACTTTCAATATAATATAATATCCACAAAACTCCTTCTGCTAATAATCAACATATGCTCACTAGTGGCTGACTTCAAGAGGTATTTCCTGGAGTTTTAATGAGAAGCAGTGACCAGTGGAGCTCAATCACATTTGTTGTGAGATAGGAACTCGCTGAAGACAATTGGTGAATGGTTGCTTTACTTCATAGATCAGTTGAAGTTAAACATTAACACTGTTGGATGACGGCCAGCTCAGTGGTCTATCGGTTAAGTGCTCTGGCGCGAGGCTGGTAGGTCCTGAGTTCGAATCTCGCGAGTGCGCGATAGTGGATGCGCACTGTTGAGGAGTCTCATAATAGGCCGAATTGGCCGACTAGTGCTTTCAAGTTTTCGATAGTGGTCTAGCTTCAATTGACTCACGCTTTTAATTATGAAAATACTAAATCGCCACAAAACCCCTTCCGATATTTGGTCACTGAGATGGGATTTATGTTATGTTCTTACAGCTCTTTAGTATTGATAAAGTTTTATCATTTACCACTATAAAAGTACAGACAATATTTGTTTTTCCCCTTAACATTAGTTGAACTAATGAAAGTCATAGAAATTATTATTTTCTTACGCTTGTTATTATCTTACCCCTAGTTTACAAATCTCAACTTATTTGTCATTCTTGACAGGAATAGGATGGGGAGAGAAAGAGGGAGAGAGACATAAAAAGGAAACACTTCATAAAGTTTCACAGTCTTATTAACCTCGTATTCATAGGTCATATTCATAAAAACATTTATAAACAGTTAAAAAGAAAATACTTGCGAATGTTTACATGATAGTGACAAAATGTCTGTGTGTGTGTGTGAGGGTGTGGGTGTGGGTGTGGGTGTGCGATGGCAATTACCATTAAGACATAAACGTGATCTGAATAAGAACAAACTTATTATTTACATTATTCAAAGACCTAAATTCAAAAACTAATGACAAGTCACAACACATAACTTTAATTTTGAAAAAGGGCGTCAAAACGGAATTGTTTTACTTAGCTTCGTTGTCACATTGTAGTTATAAGAATTTAGTTTCGTAAAAGTAGAATACTTCATCAATCATATAAACCTGCCCTAACATAGATTTCATAGGATGTTAGGAGTGAATCTGATGCAGATGTGAGGGTGAGGATCGGTAAAGCAAGAGCAGTATATTTACAACTGAAAAACTTCTGGAACTCAAAACAATTGTCAACCAACACAAAGATAAGAATTTTCAATACAAATGTCAAGACAGTTCTACTGTATAGGGCGGAGACCTGGAGAATTACGAAAGCCATTATCCAGAAGATACAAGTGTTTATTAACAGTTCTCTTGGCCAGACATTATCAGCAACATTCTACTGTGGGAGAGAACAAACCAGATTTCATCCAGAGGAGGAAGAAATCAGGAAGAAGCGTTGGAAGTGGATAGGATATACATTGAGGAAATCACCCAACTGCGTCACAAGACAAGCCCTAACATGGAATCCCGAAGGCCAAAGGAAAAAAGGAAGACCAAAGAACAGATTACTCCGAGAAATGGAAACAGACATGAGAAGAATGAACAAAAAATGAATAGAACTAGAAAGGTAGGCCCAGGACAGAGTGGATTGGAGAATGCTGGTCGGTGGCCTACGCTCCATTGGGAGTAACAGGCATAAGTAAGTAAGTAAGTAAGTAAGTAAGTAAGTAAGTAAGTAAGTAAGTAAGTAAGTAAGTAAGTAAGTAAGTAAGTAAGCAAGCAAGTAAGTAAGTAAGTAAGTAAGAGTGAATCATGGCAATTGCCCTCAAACTAAGAATTGAATGATGTAGGTTTTAATAGTTGAGATAGATTGAATTGATTTGTTTTGCTTTCTACTAAACTAATGAAACTGTTTATTATAAGAGTTAATACTATTCAATGGTCATAAACGTCTACTGACGTTTCGTGATGTAAACGATCATGTTCAACAATCTTTCCAAACTTCTCGCACTAATAATTGGGGTAATAATAATAATAATACGCTCACTAATGACTGATTTCGTGAAATAATTCTTGGAGTTTTAGTAAGAAACCGTTACTAGTGGAGTTCAGTTGTACTGTGATCAAGGCAATTGCCAATCAATGACGTATAATAATTAAGCAATTTCATTAATTGAAGATTAAGCACTCTCTGTGAAATCTGAATAACCCTGGACTTAATATTCACTGAAGCCGTAGATGTGTACTATTGAGTTCCTGTAAAAAGACAAAACAGTTGTCCAGTTTTTCTTGATTATTAGTTATTATCTAACATTTACGAGGTATCCTATAAGATACTTGAATAGTGAAATGCAATACAGCTATCAAGGTCACCCTGATATGTGTGAATATAAATGAAATTAAAAATTAAATTCACTTAGCATTACTTGTTTTAATCTTCTCATTGGTGTTTAGCACTACAACTGGTCAGTCTCTTATTGGTTTATGTGCATACTGTGCGTATTGCCTCGATATGGCCTTATATCGCAAGCATAGTAAGAAAAGATGGATAGGGACTAGTAGTGGAATGCAGTTTGACACACATTTCGTCCTATTCAGGACTCATCAGCTGGATGTACCTGCATCTGGCAGTTGGTGTTCACTCTCAGACTCGAACTCAGTAGCTTTCGCTTCAAACGCCATCGCGTTATCCACTCAGCTACTGAAACCTGATAGCCACTTGCTTGTACAATGTGGTGAAGTTTGAATTCACTTAATATTGTTTGTTTAAATCTTTCCATTAATGTTTAGGACTGTAATTGATCAGTCTGTTATTAGCATATAGTGCATAGTTTGTGTATTGCCTCGATATAGCCTTAATGCTTGTGAATTAAGGCTATATCAAAGTGTGCACATATGCCAATTAGAGACTGACCAGTTGTAGTCCTAACATATCGATGGGAAGATTTAAACAAACAATACCAAGTGAATTATTGTCCCTTATTTTGTATAACGTATTTTAAGACAAATTTGTATGTTAAAGGAAAAAAAGGGAATAGCACAACAAAGTACACATTTAGATAATTGACTTTCAACATGATTGTCAATGTGTGTGTGTGTGTGTGCATATATTTATGCGTTTGTGATACTATCCGACTACCTTGTTTGAATTAAATGGAACATGATATGATAATACAATCTACTTATTCATTATTTATGTTTAAGTAACTTATAGTTTGGAATATAATAGAAAATAAAATATTATACCTCTTTTAATAATTCATTATGAAATAGTAAACAAAAGAGGAAACTATGATAAATTGTATTCTTATAGAGTTGAGATCATGAGTCAGTTGAAGCTAGACCACCATCGAAAACCTGGAAGCACTGA